AAAAATTATTTGCCAAAATATAATTTTAACTAAAACAAATATATCTATTTTAATCGACGAATCAACTACTCTTAGTAAATTAACAACATTAGTAGTTGTTGTTCGTGCATTTATTGAAGATTTTCCCGGTGAACCTTATACTTTTAATCTTGACTTAATTGAACTCCCTAATACCTCTGCTGAAACTATTACTAAATCATTATTTGATTGTTTGGGTGGACACGGATTTAATCAAATTTTTTTAAATTAATGTTTTATTGCTTTTGCATGTGACGGAGCTTCTGTTATGATCGGAAAAGATTCGGGAGTAGCCACGCGACTTAAAATTCAATCTCCTAAATTAATTAATTGGCATTGTTCAAATCACCGTTTGGAACTGACAGTAGGTGATGTTATTAGCGAAGTTTGTGGTATAAACCATTTTAAAATATTTATGGATAAACTTTATACTATATTCCATCGGTCACCTAAAAACCAAAACGAGTTAAAAAAAGCTGCTAGTTCATTAGAAGTAAAAATTTTGAAAATTGGTAGAATTTTGTCAGTTCGATGGGTAGCATCAAGCAAACGGACAGTTAATGCAGTCATAAATAATTTTTTTGCTTTGTGTGAACATTTCAACTTGGCGTCAATGGACTCTACCAGAGACTCTAAAGAAAGAAGTAAATACTGTGGATTGTTTAAAATGATAACAAGTATAGAATTTGTTAGTAATTTAAATACCATGTCTGATGCTTTAGACGAATTAGGAGATTTATCAGAATATTTACAAAAACGTAGTATTACATTAGTAAACGCTGATAAATCTATAAGAACAACAATACGTGTATTAGATTCTATGGCAACCGATCCAGGTCCAAAATTAACTAACGCATTAAAAGAAATAAAGAACGAAATGTCGTATAAAAATGTAATATTACACAGTGGCAATGTTCCTAAAATAAATTCTGCACAATTTTACAAAAGCCTAGCTAATAATTTAAAATCTCGAATGATGACTTCCAGTTCATCAAATGTCAGTCGTAATGAAAAACATCGCCAAGACAATGAAAAAACGTTTAAAAACTTACTTGATAATATTGAAAAATTGAATCCAAAAAATTGGCCACTTTCGAATGATGGCCAAATAGAAAACATACAATTTGGTGACTGTAATATTCGTAATTTATGTCAACAATTTCAAATTGATGAAAAGAGTTTTAGAATTTATAAAATGGACTTGGGCAAAAAGGAAATTCCAGAAGATTTGAAACCCCTTTATAAATCAATTGCAACGATTCCAGTATCGACTAGCGAATGTGAACGAAATTTTATGAACGAAATCATGTCACCACTAAGAACTTCATTAAATATAAAAACTGTTGCTGCTCTTTTATTTATTAATTGTGTTGGACCACCTCTAATGAAATTCGAACCAGAAAAATACGTTCGATCTTGGTTATTGAATGGTCGACATTCAGCTGATGATACCGCAAGTCGTAAAAGAAACCAAAAGTGTGATAAGACATATGAATCATTGTGAAAGTTATTGTAAAAAAAATTGTATTGATGCTGTACTTTTTGAGTTATAAATATAAAATTTAAATAAAAATAAGTTTATAAATTATAAGTAGTTCTTTAAACATTTTATATTTATATTTTTATTTTATATAATATATACATACATATTCGTAAGTAAGTAAAAGAAGATAAAAATATATTTAAATTTTTAAAAGGGCTGAAATTTTAAAGTGAGTTTCATAAAATAGTAGATAAAACTTATATATTATTAAAAAAGGGTTAGTATTTGAGGAAGAAGAAATTTTAATTTTAATTGGGTGAAGTCCCCAATTCTATGATATGTACTCAAAAAAAAAGCGTTCCGGTTCAGAAAATTTTCCATTTCGAGCACTGACCACAAGAAAGGAAGCCTGAACACGGAGACTGATCTTCGACATCCTAATGTGAATGAAACATTCCAGGACATCAGTGACATTAGTGCAGACATTATGACTGCCTTCAACATTATCTGTAGATAAAGAAGCACATTTTGCATTCCGATTACATTTAATGAAGAGAGATGGAGGACACAGTGGATCTCATTGCCCATTCTGAAAAAATGAGAGGTGTAACATAGTCAGATGCATGGAAGGAAACCTACCACATGCCGGGCATAATTTTTGGCACTCAGCTTAAGTTCCTCTTGACAAATTTATCGTCTAGATCAAGGTTAGATCCTATATGAAGCTAACCTTCTGGGAACCGAGTTTAGTCAAATGGCGAAAATGCAATTCATTACAAATGAGACACTGAAACGATTATTATTGTATATGTATATTGTATACTAAAAATTAATTTGTAGTGCGGTCGTAGTTTCTCCTTATATAGAATTAACAATGTATATTGCACAGCTACATGGAGAGAGGTTATATAGGTATGTTTATAATTTGCAATCAATAAATAAACCGGAAGTAATATGATTAACGAAAAATAATATCCACTCGACTCTCGATTCCAAAAAAAAAAAAGTATGTATTTCATAAGAATAAAATGATAAACTTACCGCAGGTAAATTGGGCAGGAATGACTTTTGTGATTCTGACAATGATAAAAGTCCTAAAATAATCCAAAACAGGATCATTTTGTCTTTTGATATAATTTTTATTGTATACTTAAAATAAAAATTAAAAGTATTTATTAAATTTTAATTATGTATGAATTTGATCTAATCAATTACAGTTATTTGCATTAATAGCAGATAGAACTATATCACTAGAGTCTACGCTGAGAATTAAATGTGCTATCCATATTATGTTTTTCTCCACCGTGTGATTGGTCTGACACAATTATACTGTCAAAACCGGGAAAGGCAATTGTTGGAAAATAATTCGATATTTTACTATCAGAATGCTGAGCGTTTTCATGTTACTATCCTGATGTGAAGAGTGATAATTTACAAAATTCTGTTATTATCCAGCTAAGGTCAACATGATACCTTATTAAAAAAATAAATATATAATAGGTGTAATTTATAGAAGTAAACTTCTAGTGATTGTTGATTGTGTTTTATCGATATATTACGATCTAGATGGAAAATCAGTCGCTAATTAGTAGTCGTGAGAAGGACAAATAATAAAACATTATACTCGTATAAAAAAGTTTTGCTAATTATTAACATAACATAACATAACGTAACATACATAGTGTTACTTAAACAAATTTTCAAAAATAAACAAAATTGTGATTAAATAAAAAAATGTATTAAATATATAAGTATTTTTCCCAAAAAAGTTATCTATATTTGAAATCATTAACATAAAGAAGAAATTTTAAAAATCTTTCACCATACACTGTTTACAAAAAATTGTAATATTTTGCATCATGTTTATAATCAATTATATTAAACATATAAAACAAATAATTATCGAATAAAAAACATATGATATTCAATAACTTTTTTTAATAATATTTACGATATATGCCAGCTAATTTTAGGAGACTTAAGTCACAAATTATGTTCCGCCTATTATATGATAATAATATGAGCTATTCAATATACTGACATTGAAATAAGCATTGTTGAATGCTAATTTAATATACGAATTTGGTAAATTATCTATAATATATGATACAAAAATTAGTTAGATTCAAATCACTTAATGATAAATAGCGCAATAGCCAATGGAACATATGATATTGTATTTATAAGTCGATATTCTCATACATTACCATATAAATATCTAGTTGTAAAGTTTATATGAAATAGTATTGGTTTTTGCAGCAACCATAACAAAAAAAAGTTGTTGCAGTAACTTTTCTTGTCAACTTTTCTCTTTTCGTGTTTATTCACGATATAGACAAATATATAAGCACTGAATAATATAACATTAAAATTTTATTAATATTAAATGATAATAAATAATACATTATTTTGTAAAACAATTACAAACATATATATGACACGCTAACTATACAAGCTACTATACCTAGCAGAACAGTTCTAATAAAATCGTTTTTAAATTTAATTGATATATTCTTCTACAAGCAGAATAAATATAAAGTCATTCATATATTTTCATTAAACTTCTATAGTATATAAAATATAAAATAAATAATTTAAATATTCAAAGGAGAATAAATTATGCAATATAAATTAAGAATTTCAGTGACAAGAACTATTTTTGTATATTTATTAATAATTTAAAACAATATTTATTGTAAATCACATTGATTTGATAAACCGAAAAGTATAAATATTAATCTGAAATTAATTTCTAAAATTTTAATATAATAAAACGTGTAATTATTATTATATCTGATCCAAAAATTATAGATAATTTTATACAGACTTTGCATAATAATCTTCTTCTTTTTCTTCTTCTTCTTCACATTTCTCTCATCTATTTAGGGTCTTGCTACCTTTGTTCTAAACTTCCACTCGTTCTGATTTCTTACATCACATACACACACACCAACAGTACTCATATCATTCACAATTGTAAACTGCCATCTCTTTTTTTGGTCCTCTTCTTTCTCTTTTCCCTTCAACCTTTATTTTCATAACCACTCTTACTACTTGTGTTTCTTCGAGCCTCATCACATAAATAAAATAATAAATTAATAATTGTCACAATATATCCTTTTACAGTCATTTGTGCATAACGAAAAAAATCAACGGTGCTAAAAAAAATTTTATGAAATAGCTTTTTGAAATAGAATTAATAATTTTGTTAGGTACTCATATAGATATTTATTGACAATTAGAGAAATAATTTTGATTAGTTTCATAGGAGACTAATAAAACCTTAGATAAATACTGGATTTTTCTTGTTGACTTTTTATTGTTTTCATAAGATAATCGTAATTATATGTTTTCGATAAAATTATATGACGAGTGTAACTCTATTAAAATATACAACTATTTATCAGCCACTAAAATGTAAAAACAATATAACAGTAAATATTTAGTAATACATAAGATGTTTCCGTCAAAGAATTGGTATTAACAAATTAATGCAAATTTAAGGATTGATTTTGAATTGGACTCCTAATAAATTATGTAATAAGTTAAAAATAGGATGGTTTTTCATTTGAATCATTGTAGAGAGCACCATTATCAATAATACTGACATCTGGAAATGAAAAATGTATATTAATTAACTTTATTCTATAATCATTTAAACAGTTTTAACGTATTTTAAGTACATTTCTTATTTGTTCCCACTCAATAATTTGTCTTTGTGATATTAAATAATTATAACAACGGAATAATTTTATATTTAAAAATATACTTACAGAAGTAATCAATCTCAAATTCAAATTAAATAATCCAAATGCTGTCAGTTCTTTTTGCTCATATAATGATATTTGATTCATAAATAATTTAACCTAAATAATAAATAAAAATGTAACAAATTAAAATATCGTTGACACATCATTGGTACAGAATACCAAGTAAAATAACTTTTAATTGGTGAAACAATTATTTAAAAAATGTTTTAAATACAACACGTAAATAAAAGCCAACTAAAAAAAAGAGAACGTAATTTACTGCATTTTTTTTTATGACATATTCTGTAAATTATATATTTAGTTATATAAATATACTTGTAATTTTGTTTCAGCTGGTATTTCAGAAATTCGCATCGATCGCAAGTGTGTTATAATATTACTTTTCTGAAAATGATTGAATAATATTATATAATACGTTGGTAATAGACTTCAAGGTCCCCTATGTTTCTTGTTTTTAAATTATTATAAGGAATTCATTAAGTGGGTAAAAATATCTTTTAAAATCGCTTGTGTTACAGGAGTATTTAATAAATGTAAAATACGATATGGTAATTAATAAGGAATGTAAAATTCAAGATTTCAAGATGATATAGACAAAATTTATATTATAATACAAACTAATAAATAAGTTTTATAAGCTAAATAAACTAAATGTTTATAACAGAGTGATCGGCAGAGCATGATTGTTTCATATCAAAACATGTATAAAGAGGTAATATTATGTGTCTGTGGTCTACTACTCTAAAAAAAAAAAATCACGCTTACATAATCAAGTAAGTTCTTACCTTTTCAATTACCCACGTTGCGATGAAGAGGATTGACACCATGTTAAAAATGTGATTTACATAAAAAATTAACGGAACTACACTCACTGCGAGATTGCCATCCTTAAATATTACTAAAAAAATCGTTTCGTACACGGCATGGAGAAATGTTAAGACATAATACATTAAAAGCACCGGGCCGTAGGCACGACTAAACAGCCTTATCAGTTCGGAAAGTTCTGCGTGCAATAGCCTTATACATTCCACAAGCGCAATTATTTCGTTGTTCGTCCACTTGCCCGGCACAGCGTTCAATGTAGGTGGTAAGTACTGCCACAAGGAGCTTACAACGTGAAATCTATGTCCAATATTATACAGGTAAAAACAAGATGTGATCAACACAACGAAAATAATTATTTCCGGCGCTGCGAACAAGAAATGTAACAGAAGACTTTTTTCTATAAAAGAAACAGTGTAATGGATACCATAAAATATACGAAATCCTAGATAATATATAAAAAAAATTATCATGAAAATCGTCCATAACCTTTTTTTTCGGCAAATTGGAATGAACGTCGGGCAATAATATTGAATTGAATAACATAAGTCTACTATCAAAGCAAATTATACCATTTATAAACCTGAAACAAAATTAATTTTATTTAATTTATATACTTAAAATTTTATGGTTTTAGAAAAAAATTAAAATAAAATAATGCATAGAAATATAATAATATAAAATATAATAATGAATAGACAGTTCGTATTTTTTTTATTTATTTTTTTTTAAATTTTAAATATGGATTTAAAGATAAATTTTTTAAGTTTTCAGGTTTTTATCTTAAAATCAATTTACTATAATAAATAATACACACACATAAATAAATAAATAAAAATAATAATTATTAAATATATTTGAGGATTTTGAATGTTAGAATGTAAACTGATTACAATTTACTATGCCTTAATTAAATTAAAATTAATTATAATAATCTAAGTTGTTTATATATAATATAGTGAAATACCAACAGTACTACACTGTATTTACTCTCATAATTATATTCTAGATCATTAAAAAAAACTATAAGATCAAATGTAAAATAAATAATGTAAAAATTCATACTTGATTATAAAATTTTCCATTATTCTAGCTGTAATAATTATGAACCAATATTTCATTATTGTAAAATGTATAGAATAATATGTATTTAAATGAAAAATTATGCGACAAGTAGAAACTACGAAAAAGAACGTCCGTATTAATTCTAGAAATATTCTGTACGTCGAATTTGTGTCCCGATTTAATAAACCTGTATTAAATGTAGAGCAGAAGCTTATCAAACCAAAAACCTTAGATAAGTTGATTAATAATTTGAGTGATTTCGTAAACTCGGTCATAACTACACCGTATATTTGTATGTACTGAAAAAGTACTAATAATATTTTATCTAAACAGATACACATTATGTACAATAATAAAATAATTATATATCCAGAATATTGACTCTAGACAAAATGTTTGCAACCCTTTTTTCAATACAATATAACACACAATAGGTAATCGCCAACTTATAACTGTTTGAAAATGCATGAAAAAAAAAATGCATTCATTGTTTGCAAAATTAGAATTGGTAACCATATATTTTTCCCCTCCTCGACTGAATAGCAATGTAAAATACAAAGAAGGTCTCGGTGTTTTAGCAAGATTTACTTTAGTATGGTTTTATGATGACCAACCTAAGCCGTAGATTTGATAAAAAAAACCGTTTCTCATTCAATGCTATGGAAACAAATAAAGCAAAACAAAGTAAACGGTTTTTTTCAATTACATACCGTGTAGGCGTCAGATGGATTTAAAATGTTATTGAAAGCGGCAAATAATAGTTTGACCATAGAATAAAGTTCCCTTTAACAAATATTAGCAGATATAATTTGCTGAGTTTATACTGCTATAAAGGTAACACACTGGACAATGACTAAATATCTAGGTACAAAAAACTGAATATGTTATCTACATATATACTGATTTTAACTTATTTTAATTTCATATTTTATTTCTAATTCTAATTCTATTTTATATTTTATTGTGGGCTTTATCGAAATTTTATTTCGATAAAGCTCACCATAAAAATCCACTTAGAAATTGACTCTTTTCCCGTAAAATTCCTAATAATCCTAGGAGAAGATTAAAACAGTCTTGGCCTAAGGACCTATTTCATAACCTGTCGGTTAGTACTACCTGCTCAGTCTGTAATTTACAACTTTAAATACTGTAAAAAAATATATTGAATTGTATTTATATATTAATGCAATTTATTGTACAAATTATATGTATATATTTTAATAACTTTTGTTTTATTAATTAAATAGTTTTAAAAAAAAAATTTTTTATAAAAACTTATTTACTATGAAATAAATAGTTAAAATGAATTGCTATAGTAACTCATAACAGACTATCAAATTTTCTTTTCTGTTAATTAAATTGCCTATACAAAATTCCTTAAATAAGAGTGCTTTTAGTAGCGCACTCTATCATTTTGAAAACTACACAATAAAACTGTATAACTATACTAGTAGAGTGCAATGTATGTAGGTAGATAACATTGATCTTAGAATATATTCTATAAAATATATTCTAAAATCAGTGGTAGGTAATAAAGGGAATATACTTGTCTTCTTTTAAATATTTATATAAATATTTTAAAATTGTATAATCATTTTTAATGATAATTATTCTATTTAATATTAATCAAGCTTTCAATAAATAATCAAAATATGAATATATATACTGTAATAATATATACCTATATATATATCTAATATAGTTAATTATTATTATAATTTTTTCAATGCGTTGATTAATATTGTAATTATATAATTATCTTCCCTCATTAATTAACTTATTATTGTTAGGCTGAAAACCTCATAGTGCAAAATCCTAATTTTTCGGTTTACAAAAATAAATGATTTAAAAATTAACAACTCATATTCAAGACATGAAAAAAAGCACCAAATAACTTTTCATAATTGTGTATCTATTAATATAATAGATAGTCATAAATATATACTATCTATTAGATAGTATATATAGCAAATAATGATATTTAAATTATGAAATTTACTTTCACCATTGATTAAATATACTATATATATATATATATATATATATATATATATATATATATATATATATTTAATCAATGTTTTCACTAAACATTTATCAGTGTTATAGGATATTATATTTACTAATTTTCTTTAATAAAACTGTACCATAATTGACTCTTATTATAATTGTATTAAATTTTAAATTCCTTTCAGAGTTCAAAAATAGGTAATTAATATTTAAAAAAATAAACTGCAAGTTTACCTAACTACTAAATATTACATTTAAACCATAAGGCATAATCATCAATATTTCGTTTTAATTAGCAGTATATTAAAAATAATATTGCTATAGTAAGTTGTTACATAATTTCATATAAAAAAAATTCATTCTTTCAACAACTAAAATGTAAAATCTGTTAACACAGTTTATAAAAATATAAAATATAATTTTTATACTAAAGTTACAAAAAAAAAAGTCTACTATATACTACATATTACTGCCATTGCATTTATTAAATTTCCAGGGTAGCATAATGTACGTACCACATAAGCTGTATTTGGGAACTGATGTATATTTTGATAACAATTCATGTAATATAATAACACAGTGGCTACATGAACTTTTTTCTCAGGGGCGTATTTAGACTTACTTCTAGGGGGAGGGGGGGGGACTCAAATTTTTTCTTTAATTCAGGCTCAAAATGTACAAGTAAAATTTTTGGTAATATTTAAATCAGGTGAATCCTTAATATTTTTTTTTTATTTTTTTTTAATCAAATGCCGGATCCACTTAAAATGAACTTTTGTGTAGTTCTTTTTTAACACCTATCTGTGTTTTGAAAGTTTCGCTTTTGTTTTTTTTTGATTTTCACTAAGTATGGACCAGGGCTTAAATCAAAATAATATATATTTTTTACCGTTATGTGACATTTAAACGTAATAAGCAACTGAGTGTTTAACGCTATAAATAATTTAAACGTTATTCAATTTAAACGTTTAAACCAGTTGTTAAAGTGGGGAAAATGTTGTGGGGGGGACTATATTCATCAAAAATTAAGGAGCGTTCCCCTTCCTAATTTTAAATCTTACCAACCTTTTTTTAGGAAACCCATGAGGTCTAAGCCTCCTTTGTTATATATATGTTCATAGGGTGTAAAAACAAATTTCCCCCAAAGAAAAATAATTCTATACATATGCCTGCTCAAAAAAAATAAATTGAAATACATAGTAGATAATGTTAAAAAACTTAATTTAAACTTAACAAAACTAAAAAGAAACAATTACTAACCTTGCTAGTTGTTGGTCGACGAAGACATTAACAAATACGTACATAGCACATGAGGTGTATACTGTCTATATTATATGATAGTGTCTATCCTCTATCATAATTTAATATTTATACTATTTATAGCTATTCTATTCTGTTTATATTTATTCTAAATAATAGTCGATATCACTACCACTTTAATTTTAGAGCTATCGGTAATAACCGCTCGGGGATCTTCTACAATTAGACACAGCGTCAATTAAATTAACCCATGGTATCCATTATCTACCATTTTTTCTTATAGTTATACCTAAATAATTATTTCTCCGAAATTTTATCCACTTGTTCAAATAAATCAAGAAAATAAATTTCATGTAATATTGTAATTAGGCAGTGGTGGATTTAACGGTCGTTTAGTCGGCGAATGCCGACGGGGCCCCTCCTTAAATTATTCACTGAGGCCCTGAAAAATGATAGTAATTTTTTTTTAAATTTTACCGGAAAAAAAAATTATGGTACAAATTGTAATATCGTTTACAATTACCATTTTTATTTATAACAAAATAATTTAAATATACAGGAAATACTCAAGAATCCTCTGAATACTTCAAAAATAGAACATTTTATTTATAAACAAAGTAGAAAAGATCGAATATAGATATAGTTAGAAATACTGTTAATATTGATTATAGAATTCATATAATTTCCGAGTAGGTACACTATACAAGTATATGAACAATGATTTATTATCAGTTTCGCTGCATTACGTTATTTCTAATGTACTATTTTCCATTTTCGTATCGCGAGTGTAGCGAGTAGCTTTGTAAAATGGAGCTAAGGATTTTAGTGATACATTTATTACGAGGCCCCTCTTTTGGATTTGTCGACTTTATTTGAACCTTTAAATCCGCCAATGTAATTAGGGATGGGCCGATACCACTTTTTACCGATACCCGATATACCGATATATACAACCGATATAAAACCAATACCCGATATTATAATCACAAGTAAAAACTATGTTAATTTTTAATATATTACACAAAAAAATCAATTTTTTTGGCAAAACCATGAACCGATACTAAAATTAATCCGATACCACAAACCGATAAAACCGATACCTGATATTATAATCACAAATAGTTTTTGCGGTATCGGTTCAAATATCGGTTTTGAAAATAAACTAATACCGATATTTCCGATACCACCAATATCGGCCGATACCAAGTATCGGTTCTAGGATCGGCCCATCTCTAATTGTAATATTATAATAAGTGTTGTATATTCAATATTGTATTTTAGTGACCAATGCCATTAAGCGTCCACCTGGACTTTTGGCGACTTAAATTAAAGAGGAGGCATATACTTAAAGTAACCTGGGGTAAGATGACGTATGGGGTAAGTAAACTATTATCAATAAATTATTAAGATTTTTAATTATGGACATACTGTTTAGTGTTTATCCATGTACCAGCTATGTTTATCAGTAACACAAAAAAAAAAACGAGATTTACTTGAACAACAGCTCGAAATGAGATAAGTTTTAATTTTTTACTTTTTGATGTAATATTTAGATAGAATAAAATTAGTTATTCATATTGGAAAAGTTATTTATATAGGAATCGTTTTTTTTTTACCATTTCTACACTATATTGGCTATTATTTATCATGTACTATGTTCTGATAATACGAATGCTTATTTGTATACAATTTTTTCAGTAATGAAAAGTATATTGGGATAAGATGGCGTATTCAATTTGGGGTAAAAGTGCGCATTTCAGCATATGATGTTGACACCTACATATTTATATGTTTGAAATTATAATTATATGTATTAGTAACTACATAGTTATTATAAAATTCAAATTATTTACAATTAGAGCATCTAAATATTTTAATTTAATTACTTCTGTATATTTTTAGAAACTACGTAAGTTATTACCTATTTATTTAGTTTTAAAATGCATTAACTGATAAATTGATAATTTTTGTTTGGTTAAATCTACTACTGTAGTACCTATCTACTTGTTAAATTTGTTTATTTTGTTGTTTTTGTTATAGCATGATTAAACAAAGTTCAATAAATTGTTCAATAGTTTTTATTTGTGTTATGTTTTAACATGTTATAATTTTTAATATAAATATAACTATATAATATGTCTTAAAAATCTTTACTTATTATTAATTTTATAAGCAAATATAATTAAAATAGACATTTATAATAAATTATAGTGATTACAATTGGTAAAAAATTTATTTAAGAATTTATTTTCCGTAACAAGATTAATTTAAAATAAAGACTTTTGCTTGCGACCTTTTACCCTACCATGTGCACATTCTTACCCCAGTGTCGGGGTAAAGATTGCGCGTATGACTTATGTTAAGTTTTCTATGTTTTAAAACTAATTTATCCAAAATATTAAAGCTTTCATTGAAAAAATGAAATGAAATGAATATGTGCTATACAAAAATAACTTTTTTTTGTACCAAAAATATAATACTATATTATTTAAACACATTTTATAAAAAAGTGCGTCATCTTACCCCAGGTTACTCTACCTTAAATAAGAAAGTGTTCCCCTCCCCCCCCTCCACTGTAACCACTGGTTTAAACGTTATACAAATTTAAACGTTTAAAAAAATTTCCGTTTACCGTTATTGATAGTTAAAACGTTTTCAAATGTAGTATTTAGTAATCAATACTATGTAAAATAACATTACATATTTTAAATATTATATTATGTATGTATTACCTTTGACCAGTGGTGTATTGGTTAATATATTTGAGGGTATACGCACTAAACAAATATGGATATTAATCCTTAAATAAATTTTCTTGATTCGCTCGACAATCGTTTTCTCTCGATACGTTCGAAAAAATATAATTAATCCTTTGTAACTACATGTTTATAACTTCTATTAAGACTATAAAATATAGCACCTCAAGATATACATTTGCAGCGCATTATAAATTGCATAATACAAATTTAAGAACCATGGGCTGAATGTTCACACTCCATACTATTTTATTCAATGTTATTCACTACAATTAACAAAATACATAAAACCCAGCGTACACTGTAATCTTCAATATATAAATATTTGAATCAATTTCATGGTTCATAATAATTTTTTCTAATGAGCTATTAAATTATTATTAATTTTTTTTTTTGGTTTTCGAGTTATTTTAGAAGTGTATATTTGTAAAATAATACTTTACATTAGGTATACATCGAAAATCGAAAATCTGCTGATGGATATACGTACCAATACACCCCTGCCTTTAACGATATTTTTTTTTTGTAACTATTATAACTCATAACTTATAAATAAAGCAATCATATTTGTTGTATAACAACAATAAAATGCAAATACCATGTAGAATATGTATTTATTGCAGGGATGGAAAACGTTTTTGATTTTTCGATTCCGTTTTTGTTTATTGATTTAAAAAATATTGTTTTTGTTTAATGTTTTTAAGCGTTTTTGATTAACGTTTTTAAAAATGTTATTTTTAAATAGTGTTTATAAATAACATTTTTCAAATCGTTATTTTTCTTTAATGTTTCCAAATAACGTTTTTGATAATTTTGTTTTTTTTATATATATATATATATTCTTATTTCTTATACCTAACTTATAATAGTTACAATGAATATTCAATGTACTGAATTTAGGAATGCACTTAAGTTATAATTAATTATTCTTAATATTTAAAATTTATATTTTATATGAAAATAATAAAATTCAAAATTTTAAATTAAAACTTTTTAAAAAGTGCATTAGTAAAGAGTAAAGACTAAAGAGTAAGTAAAGACGTAGAGTAAAACACTATTTCAGGTTTCTTTAAAGTCATGTTATTGTTACAATTAACTATAATAGCCAATAGAATAATGAGTAGGTATAGTAAATTATAAAACAAAATTAATTCCTAATCAACTGCTAAAATCAATAGATAATAATATAATCATATTATAATAATTGAAGCGGCAACTATGTTATAGATTACACTATGATCCATGGCCGTCGTTGTGAAAAATAATAGAATTTCACCGTCGCAATGTGTATGTGCCATGTGGACTATAATTAATTATTGCGTTATGCTATTAATATATTTTATTTGTCAACAATTACCTATTAGTTATCAGAATTATAACGGTATATCGTTATGTCGGCATATATCAATAAATACCGTGTAAACAATAAATACCGCTCATTTGGTAATTACTGGTCACTTGGTAATAATCGCTCGCTCGATATATATCGCTTGCACAGTAATTACCGCTCGCTCGGCATATACCGCTTGCTCGGTATATTCTGCTCGCTTTGTATATACTGCCCACTCAGTAAATGCCATTTAAACAATAAATAACTCTAATACCGTTTTTAAGCGACAAATTTATAGGAATATCGTTGAGATTTGAGAGAATATATAATTGTATTATTATTTATGATCCCAAGAATAGAAGCCCCCACTATGTGTCCAATTGTGTTTTCAGTGATTTATCTTATGATAATCAGATAATATAATTTAAGATGAGTTGGTGGAGTTTGGTGTCCCACTCTCATTGGTTATAAAAGTTTTTTCATTCCTTAGCCGGTCTACATGAATAGTTCATAATAAATACTATAAAAGTATAAAATATAATGCCATTTAATAAACGTTTGATTAATTTTGCGCTATCAACTATCCTCTAAATGTATTTTTATTATACGCCATATGCCCTTGAGGCTTGCTGTGTAAATAATGTATTAAATTGTCATATTTATTATTTTTGTCTTTTGATAATAATTACTGATCCACGGTAAATAACGATAAACGCTAAATACCGTACATTCGGTGTATATATCATACATTCGGTATATATATAATATATACTGAATATTCGGCAAATACCGAAAGATCGGTATACCGGTTAGTGTAAAGCTGGGTTCACACACAGACTTCTATACTAACTAGATAAGGTATTGTCGATATTTACTGAAGCTTGGCTTATCAGTTTCCGCCATTTTGTCGGTTGGCAAAACATTGAACGTTACATTTAGTCTTGTGCAGCATTATATT